GTGTGTGTGTGGTGATTGTCGAGCTTCACTCTGTGTCGTTGTGTTTCAGGACTGACGCTGGACGATATTGACGTGTTTGAAATCAACGAGGCGTTTGCGAGTCAGGTCAGTTCGTCTCTTTTGTTAAAATTAAATTCGTCAATAAAAGAAACTTAACGAAGGAAAAATCAGATCAAAGAATTGGGGGTTAGATTCGACCCTAACCCAGATCCACGTGATCCAGACTCGTGAGTTGAGGTCAGAGGACGGAGAAGTTGTGGTGTCAGTGTTCTCTTGTTGTCGTCAGGCGGTTTACTGTGTGGAGAAGCTGAGGATCCCGCCAGAGAAGGTGAATCCAAACGGCGGCGCCATCGCTCTGGGTCATCCTCTGGGCTGCACCGGAGCTCGACAGGTGGTGACGCTGCTCAACGAGCTGAAACGCAGAGGGAAGAGGTTCGTGTCGAGCTGAAACAAACACGTGATCAAACCCTCAATGTATTGAACTGTTTGAGACCCGTCTGGTGTTTTGACCGCAGGGCGTACGGCGTCGTGTCCATGTGCATCGGGACCGGGATGGGAGCAGCGGCTGTCTTCGAATACCCCGGACCATAGGAGCACGCCTGTGGTTATCATCCGTCTAATTAACAACCAATCAGGTGCGATCAGCGACACAAGATGAGCTGAAGCCAATAATCGATGAGTCAATCAATAGGAAACAAGTTGACAATAATCTGACGGAGAACAAACGGCTCCAAGTTAAAACCTGTTGTTTTTTCTTCTTTTTTTTCTTTCAAGTTAAAAAAACTAAATCTGTGGCGACACGCCCCGACAGAGCAGGTAGCACGAGAGCGGAGGTCGACGCTTCCTTCACGTGACCAATCAGAGCAGACGTTGACGGGAGGGGCTCTTAAAGAGACAGGAGCTAAAACCAAGTGTTTGAGACAGAGGCTGAAAGGAGGAGCTGCAGCGATGGACAGTCTGAGGACAGAGACTCTGAAGATTACAGCATGAAGACATGTGAATGTATTTAATATAACATTAATTAAAATGATCAACATGAACAGAATGTGTCTCTTTATCGTGTACAACTTTATTAACAGATACAATTACTGTTTTCTAACAGACTGTTATAAAGAATTTATTCTGGATCTTCTCCTGCCGCCTCTAGTCAAACATCTGTAACATGTCAGAGTGAGTCCCTGAGAGAAACATCTGGAACCTTCTCAGTGAGCGACGTGAAACTGAAGAACACAAATGTCCCAGGATGAAGAAGAGGAGCCGTACATGTAGAAGACGAAGACGTCCACTTGGAAAGACGAGGAGGTTCCAGATGTTTTGGTGATGAGGGCCGACGC